ACACCGAAACAAAAAGACGACGTGTCACAATCCACAGAACGGGTCGGGAGATAGATGCAGTCTTATGTATCGAACAACTAGACATAAAGTTTGTTACCTTTTTCTTTGATACTTTGAACATTTTGACTTTTCATTTTCTTTTCTTTCATGCATATTTTGTGTTATCACCCCCGTTGAACTCAATTTGCATTACGGCTTTAACCCTGTTTGATCTCGTCTGTCTAAGATCAATTCACAACGTGGGTAGGCAGACTGGAGATCAGTGCAGTTACCTTGGTAACCAGGCGTTGGAAGCGAGTTGGGAACGGCGAGGCTGATATCAAATCTAACCAGATTCCCACCCGAATCACCAAAGGGTTAGAACGTCACATTTGGGTGCCACGACCGATACCAAGCCAGTCGGTCGTCACAGGACGAGACAACACGACTGACGCGACAGGCGGACATCACGTTTGGAACAGCGACACCTGGACGGAGCAGCGAGGAGCGAACAGCTGGCGCCGCGGCGAAGACGTCACAATTAGTGCTGTTTAGGGACGTCACAACTGGTGTCGTAACCGGGATATGACCCTGGAACGGCCACGACACAACTGGCGCCGTGGTAGATCAGGATAGAACGTCACAGTTGGCGCTGCGACCGGGGGACGACGTCACACAAGTGCCCTTTGGGAGATTGTATCTCCAACGAATTAAATAATATTTATTATGTTGGTCACACCACAAACTCGCTTTCACGACGCTTGACACTACATTTGAATGAAAACTCTTAAATTTTTAGGCATTTAAAACAACATGCCTGGCTGCACACACCATTCCGTAAAATCCTTGTCGAAAACAAAATTATACTTAAACATGAAAACAAGAGACAAAAACTAAAAATCCTTGAAGCAATATACATCAAACAGTTGAAACCTAACCAAAACAAAATCAACTATGGAATCTCTACAAATATTCTTAACTGTCTATAATTGGTAACAGAACGTTTGGTTTATAACAACGGCTTTCCATACTTAACACTTCTCGAATTCTCTCTCGTGTGGTCATGTGTGACGTCATGAGCTGCGGTGCGATTTTCGCATCCAGCGTCTTATATGCCCGTGTTTATCGCTGCTTGGAAATCATCCATGTAAACAATCACAGACTATCATCACTGTCTTGTACGTATATTGTTTAATATATTGTACTGTAATTGACATCGCAGATAATGGCTTATGTAAGCCGAAAACTTCGATTGGATTAAAATATATGGATCAATATTTTTATTTTCTTTCTTCATTTAATGATAATGTTTTTAAGCTTATCAGACGTTATGAAAAGAATTTACATAAAATAATCAGACAATACTTGTCTATATTATTTAATGAAACATGTATGAATGAAAATTGCTGCATAAATAGATACAATATATATATATATATATATATATATATATATATATATATATATAGTTTATGAAAAACTACGTAATCCGTATGGCAGCATCATTTTTTTAATTTTTTAAATGGAATAGATGTTACTCTTGTTTTTACTCCCAGTAATAAGAGGACAACGAAAATATATGTATTGTTGTATCCGAAAAATGCTATTAGAAATGAGTTATTGTTTTTGGAGCGTGCAGTATCTATTCCATACCTGAAGATGTCTGTAGAAACAGACGAAAGCTTGTAGTAAAAATAAGAACTAATGCAACAGAAATTTATAAAAACAAGGATATTTTCATTCATAACAGGTTCGGGGTTTTTGTATATTATTTGAATTGTTTGTGACGATGGATGATGGATTTCTCGCCAATTAAATCATTAATCTTTGTATTTGTTTTTTTGTGTGAATAATTCATGAATTTGTAAATTAATTGCACCTTTATTGAAATTAATATATATATATATATATATATATGAATTTCTTGCTTCACTGTCAGAAGCAAAAAAGCGAAAGGGAATTCCACAGGAGGGAAGTCATAGTGATTAAACTCTCCCCGCAGAACTGACGGCTCTATCTATGTATTTCAACATAAACCCATGAGGCCGATCTGCCAATCGAGGATTCCTGAATATATATCCCCGAATCATAACAGTAGTCAGACATATTAGCAAATAATATATTTCTTTGACCGTGTATTATTTTAAAAGTATATACGAAACGATGAAGAATATATTTGCAATATATTATATTCTGTAAAAATACATGTATATCTATAAAAGTAAGTAATAATTTAATGTGATATCTATTATATATATATATATATATATATATATATATATATATATATGTATGTATGTATGTACCACTGTGAGAAATGTCGTGTTTCTTCAAATTAAATAAGTAAAAATTTCTTTCCTCTCTGTTGAAAGCCGAATGCTTTATGTAAAATCTCCGACTGATACCAAATCAGTCGGATTTCTATCCTGGCTTTGGGCAATCAGACGTCTAGTCACAATGATGAGCTGTGATACAGAAAGAAGCTGCGTCTGTAACACAATATATATATATATAGATAGATAGAGATATAGAAGGTTTGGCGAGCGACACCAAAGCTTATACAAGTATTTTGATAATTCTGATACATACTGTGTGCGTGTTTCTTTCTTTTTTGTTTCTATCTATCTATCCATCTATCTATCTATCTATCTATCTATATATATATATATATATATATATATATATGTATATATATGCACACACACTCATGTATATATATATATATATATATATATATATATATACACACACACACACTCATATATATATATATATATACACACACACACACACACATATATATATATATATATATATATATATATATATATATATATATATATATATATATATATATATATATATAATATCAAAAATTAGGAGATCAACCTTTTGTCATCAGCAGGCGATTTCGTTCAATTGACTTAAAATCTTTACATTTTATTTTTTTTATATTTTTATGCATTTTTCCTGATCTACTGTTTTCTAATACAACAGTGACCATTACTTTTCTTATATATATATATATATATATATATATATATATATATATATGTGTGTGTGTGTGTGTGTGTGTGTGTGTGTGTGTGTGTGTGTGTGTGTATAAACCATCTGTTTCCCACAATGATTTGAGCTCATTTGACCATTTCATTTATCCGAGTGTTTCAAGAATCTGCGCATCTCAAAATAGAGTAATTGGCGAAGAAGAATGTCTGAAATTAGCGAAAGGAAACGCTCATGCAAGCAGACGAACGCCCGTTTCAAAAATAGTGCTGTCTCCACATGAAGGAAATTAAGTCCCATTGCATTTACGTATCTTTAAAAAAAAGCAAAAAACGAATAGAAATAGGGAAAGAATAATCATTCGAAGCAAAGTACTAATTCGTACAGATCGTCTCTCACGAAACAATAGACTTATTTCGGTTTTCTTGAAAACCGTGTCTTCAGATATCTTAAAATACACCTTCCTTTTGTGCAGGCGGTCGAATTTTGTAGTAAACTACTTTATTAATTAAGAAATCGATAAACAGATCTAATGAATGCGATAAAAAAGACGAAAAATAATAGAATAAGCGAGAAAATTACATTAATTACTCCCCTTGTTCAAAACTTTTGGGAATGTTTGGTTCATATGACGTCACGCACAATATATTAATGCGGGTTTTAATTTAAATGTAAAAACGAAAAAAAATAATAAAATAAATGACGTATTCTCTATTCGCCATTTAAATGTGGATTTTTTTTCTGGGTCTTGATGTCTCTAGGTCTATATTAAGAGTGTTTCTTGAGTTTTCTCCTTCAGCCTATGTTGAAAATACTCCCCAGATATATTCTTGGAACAAATTATATGTCCACCCACCTAATACATCTGTAAATTATATATCTATATTTGGTTAAATACTTACTCTTATATATTAGTCACGTTGACACGCGTGTCCAAAGGTTCCGACATTTTAACATTTTTTTTAAAACTCATTCTCTTCCTCCTCCAGCTTAGTCAAGAAGCCTACTAACATAAAATAAATAGTATCTGTCTTATTGACAATATTTTTATCATTTCCGTGTCTATTTCTTCCTCGAATTTCATTAAATGACCTGTAAAATCTTTATATCTATCAGCCTATTTTAAAAGCCGCCCTATCAAAACTGATGGCTGCATTCAAGTATTGCATTGAATATTTAAACTTACTCTTTAAAACTTCAACGATTATTCTTCTGCCGACAATTAATTTAAAGAGAATTTGATCTACGTAAGTCCTTACTTTCCGTACAAACAAATATTTTTTTTTATTTCATGGGTGACTTTCGCTGGATTTCGCAATTAATTTCGATTATTCCCAAATTTATTTCCAAGTTATAAGAATTGTTACCGTACAAAAAAAAAATCCATCGAAGAAATCACGTAAAGAAATCGCTGAAAACAATGGCAGGAATGGAAACATTGGAATCCAAAATTTCACGATTCGGATCTGGCCTGGAATGTTTTAATTTGCTCACGGAGTCGGCCTGATTCCGAAATTCGCATATTTACATAGACATACAAGGTTCGATAAAGGTGACCGACAAGGTACTGTGGCTTAGCGTTTTATTTAAATATTGTGTTTTCTACGTGGGACAAGTATTATTTAAGCATGCGCGGACGGAGTAGATGTCCCATACTATCATACTAATAGATAATAATAGAAAATACAAGTAAAATAGCCTGTATGGCATTAAAGAAAATATTAGTGATTACGGATTACAAATAAAAACAGGAAAACCAACAATAAGATCACAACTGCCAGGAGGTAGATGATCATGTCCCTCCGCAGATAACTTTTCTTTTCTTATGTGAATTGACATATCAAAAAGTGAAGCTTTAATAAATGTGTAACATGTTAGATTGATAAACGTTTCCAATGTGTTCTTTAATTGCATATAGCTATTACTGTAACATAGGGAAGGTTACTGAAAAGAATAATAAACCGAAGGTTGGTAATGAACGCTAATTTGTTCATTAACTCAGCATTCTGTCGGATTACGATCTAGATAGGTAGATAGATAATGAACAGACAGGGATAGATAGATAGATAGATAGATAGATAGATAGATAATAAACAGACAGTGATAGATAGATAGATAGATAGATAGATAGATAGATAGATAGATAGATAGATAATAAACAGACAGTGATAGATAGATAGATAGATAGATAGATAGATAGATAATGAACAGACAGGGCTAGCTAGCTAGCTAGCTAGCTAGCTAGATAGATAAATTGTCGTGCAAAGGGCTTGCGACAAAGTGTATAATCAGATGATTATACCGTTTTATATAATTAAGAATTTATTATTGTTTACTAGTAATGTAATCAAAATATGAGAATTTGAAGATAAGTTGTTTTTTTTTCGTACATGACATGTACCAGATGATACAGCAATTTTAGTAGTTTAATAGCTGCAAAAACAAACATGTGTAACTATTGGGCCAATAAAATATCTGAGATTATAATATCATCGTAATATAAAAATTTCTCCCTAGGAATTGGTCTATAAATGAATGTAAAATCGTTACGTAAATCATTATAAAATCTTGTTTTACTCTAAATTGATGGCTCAAATTTCTGCTTAAATTTTTGCTTCTTTGAAATGAAAGACAACTTAACAAATGATAGCCAGGCAACTGGGAATTTCCTGAAATTGTGCGAACCAATCCCATCGATATTTTCTAAAAGGGGATATGTTTTTTCACGGCAAAGAAACCCGGATGACTACAAACATTAGACAACCGAGATGAAAGAAAGATTGCGAACGTCACGGTGAAAATAACAGCTCAATGAATTAATTGCAATTTGAACATTGAGGTTTCAGTTGATACATTATTGCGAATATAAAGTCTTGACCGTGTGTATATCACAAATAAATCATTAACCAAAAGATGGGAAAAGATTATTGAAGTAGTTAAAAGAACATTTAACATTTGATTCTGAAAGCTGATAATAAGGAATTTTTAGTAACAAATGCAAAATAGAGTTACGTTCTAATACAGTATAATATGTAAAACCAGTGGGAGAAAAAACAATGCAAGATACGCTAAAGACGATAAAATTTGGTGATGGACACATCATTTGTTTTGTTTTATGGCATATCATCTTCAATGGTTTATTTAATGCCGACAAGGTTTTTATTGCTGGTAATATTTTTTTTTCTAGAAGTAAATTGCTGGTAATATCTTTTTTCAAAAATGTATTGCCAGTAATGTAGTGTATTGCAGGTAATAATTTTTCCAAAAATATAATTCTGGTATTAAAATCTATTTTTATACTTTCATCGTGTTTTCACCCACATTTTTTGTGTGGGGAGTAACTATTTGCAGATGCTACCACACCGGGTCAACGTTGACCTGCGAACCTCAGCAACTATGAGGTGGTTACATGATCCCCCAAAACAACTTTATCAGAAACCTTGCTGCCAGATGTAGTTTAACGTCTTACCCAGGAAGAGGAAACATCATGATGTGGCGTTGCATCAGAAGTTATAGAAGAAAGAAATCGGTAAATTTAATGGAAACCAAAACAGCGAAAAATACATTAAAGTCTAGTCTTCTGTCAGATTATAAAATGCCCTTCTTCATGTGCAGAAAAATTGTTTTGTGTAGATGAAAATGTTCAACGTTTGGCAGAATGGCCATAACAAAAGCCAGATATCAATATAACAGAACCATTGTGGTGGAAATTAAATGAGCAAGTTCTCCATCGAAGATCATACAATCTTCAAGAACTTTGGCATTACTGTAACGTAGAATGAGAAAAAATTCAGAAACATCTCCGGTCTCCTTCATCTTTTGAAGTCTCACGAAGAACCTGAACGGACATTACAAATCAGACCAGGCACTGTACAAAACAAATTAGCATGCCAGATCTGCAATAATCATTGCAAGTCATTTGCACTTTCTAGGAGTCATTGTCGTTCACAAAAAAATACATTAATCAAACGAGTCGACAATCATCATCATATATATATATATATATATATATATATATATATATATATATAGTTATAAATATAGATATAGAAATATTAGGAGTAGGATCTCCCACTGATGTCAAACCCGTCGGCTTTCGTTCCCATCTTAAAGCAATCGGTCTCGCCACTCTGATGAGCTCTGATACACAGAATATTCTTCTTGGTGGATGACTATATATATATATATATATATATATATATATATATATATATATATATATTTGATTAAAATCTGTGTGTTGAAAACAGTTAATTCAATTGCAATATGGGGAATTTCATCTTTCCTCATTTCTTGTAGCGAAATAACGGGAGAAGTGTTATGCATATATATATATATATATATATATATATATATATATATATATATATATATATATATAATATTAGTGGAAAATATACATACATATGAAAAATATATCTAAAAAATTCCCATACATGTATATTTTCAGAAAAAAAATTTTCCAAGAGGTAGAACTCAATGTCTAGGACAGAGTAAGGATATAATAAAAAGGCTTAAACACTAATATTCCATGGTCATAATTTATTCCATTGGAATCGTAAATACGATCCAAATCATCAGACCTACAAATTCAAAATGAAAACAGAAAAAAACAACTCCGGAAATCAAAACAGAATTTAGAGAAAGTGTAAGTATGAGGATGAGTGACAGAGAGAATTTTTGGAGATGTGGGTGGGGTGGATTTAAAAAGAGGAGAGAAAGAAAGTCGACGGATGTCTAATACATAAAGATACATTTCATATATATATGTATATTATACGCGTAAATGGTGACACTCACGTTGTAATTTAATGACGTGGACAATGAAGACCTCGAATGGTGCTAACATACATTTGGTAATAATCTCCAGTGACTTGAGTGAACGTAGCTATTACTCTGGCTGCAAAGAATATTAGAGGAGATTTCTCACGTCACTAAGTGCCAAACGTACCCTAAATCCATCACATACATTCGGGACGTGGAATTTATGAATATTAAACACCTTTAAACACTCAGTGTATGAATTGGTTATAACAAATTTTGCATAGGCAATAAAGAAATTGAACATAGACTGCGCCAATGATACTTTTAGCTAACATTGCAAATTGAGTATGGAAACCAAAACGTTAATATAAAAAATTGAATATTCCTTATATTATCAAATCTAGAGTTTCATATGGATGCCATGCAAAAAGCTAAATTCGTTCAGAAATATCTAAGCTATCCGTTGCATAAAACCGCTTTCTCTGAGCAATTGTTTTAAATGGCTTCGTTGATATTTTATCAAACATTTCGACTAGCGCTACATAATCGCAAACAAATAAGAATACCAAATAAGAGTACCAAATAACAAATAATATTCTGGCAGCAGACGAATTGAGACACTTATAATTCCAAAAGACGGCAAAATTAATTTCTAAATCTATATATCAAAATTTTATACTTTCTGTAATAATGCCCGTTTTTAACTTACGAAAAGAGATGAAAAGTTCATTTTTCGGTGGTGGGTCAGTATTTTTGCATATTTTTTCTTTTAATACATGCACATCAATTGTCCTATAATTCACAATACAGCATTATCAAACAAATGCAGTAATTTGTTTTATCGACGCTCAAGGTTCTTAAAATGTGTTATACAATAATATCTATTCTATTGTTATGGAATCTCCCACAGATAATATGTAGTAGTAGCAGTCGCCAGTTAGTCTCAGTGGCGTCCCGCAGTCTTTGACTGCACACGCATCCTGTCGAACTCTCTGCATAAGCAGAGAGGAACCCGGACGAGGCTTTGCCGAAGGGCAAGGTTTCGTCCGGGAAGGTAGACAGGGCCTGAACCCGTCTAATCGGCTACAAAAGGCTATTTTTTGGCCGAGCCTACGGGCTCGGAGAAACCCACAATAAAACAGGCGTTGTGCTATATTCGTTTCCCGTGGGTGAAATGATAAATGCTCAGTGGCGTCCCACAGTTTTTGACTGCGCACGCCTCCTGTCGAACTCTCTGCGTTAGCAGAGAGGAACCCGGACGAGGCTTTGCCGAAGGGCAAGGTTTCGTCCGGGGAGGTAGACAGGGCCTGAACCCGTCTAATCGGCTTCAAAAGGCTATTTTTTTGGCCGAGCCTACGGGCTAAGGGAAACCCACCATTAAACCGGCCTTGTGCCATATTCGTTTCCCGTGGGTGAAATGATAAATACCAGTGGCGTCCCGCGGTCTTTGACTGCGCACGCCTTCTGTCGAACTCTCTGCGTTACCCGAACGAGGCTTTGCCGAAGGGCAAGGTTTCGTCCGGGGATGTTGACAGGGCCTGAACCCGTCTAATCGGCTTCAAAAGGCTATTTATTTGGCCGAGGCCTACGGGCTCGGAGAAACCCACAATAAAACCGGCCTTGTGCCATATTCGTTTCCTCTGGGTGAAATGATAAATACTCAGTGGCATCTGGCGGTTTTTGACTGCACACGCCTCCTGTCGAACTCTCTGCATTAGCAGAGATGAACCCGGACGAGGCTTTGCCGAAGGGCAAGGTTTCGTCCGGGGAGCTAGACAGGTCCTGAACCCGTTTAATCGGCTTCAAAAGGCTATTTCTTTGGCCGAGCCTACGGGCTCGGGGAAACCCACAATAAAACCAGCCTAGTGCCATATTCGTTTCCCGTGGGTGAAATGATAAATACTCGGTGGCGTCCCGCGGTTTTTGACTGCGCAAGTTTCCTGTCGAACTCTCTGCTTAAGCAGAGAGGAACCCGGACGAGGCTTTGCCGAAGGGCAAGGTTTCGTCCGGGGAGGTTGACAGGGCCTGAACCCGTTTAATCGGATTAAAAGGCTATTTTATGGCCGTGCCTATGGGCTCGGGGAAACCCACAATAAAACCGGCCTTGTGCCATATTCGTTTCCCGTAGGTGAAATGATAAATACTCAGTGGCGTCCCGCGGTCTTTGACTGCGCACGCCTTCTGTCGAACTCTCTGCGTTATCAGAGAGGAACCCGGACGAGGCTTTGCCGAAGGGCAAGGTTTTGTCCGGGGAGGTAGACAGGGCTTGAACCCGTTTAATCGGCTTCAAATGCTATTTTTTTGGCCGAGCCTACGGGCTCGGGGATACCCACAATTATACCAGCCTTGTGCCATATTCGTTTCCCGTGGGTGAAATGATAAATACTCAGTGGCGTCCCGCGGTCTTTGACTGCGCACGCTTCCTGTCGAACTCTCTGCTTAAGCAGAGAGGAACCCGGACGAGGCTTTACCGAAGGGCAATGTTTCGTCCGGGGAGGTTGACAGGGCCTGAACCCGTCTAATCGGCTTCAAAAGGCTATTTATTTGGTCGAGCCTACGGGCTCGGGGATACCCACCATAAAACCGGCCTTGTGCCATATTCGTTTCCCGTGGGTGAAATGATAAATACCAGTGGCGTCCCGCGGTCTTTGACTGCCCACGCCTCCTGTCGAACTCTCTGCATTAGCAGAGATGAACCCGGACGAGGCTTTGCCGAAGGGCAAGGTTTCGTCCGGGGAGCTAGACAGGGCCTGAACCCGTTTAATCGGCTTCAAAAGGCTATTTCTTTGGCCGAGCCTACGGGCTCGGGGAAACCCACAATAAAACCAGCCAAGTGCCATATTCGTTTCCCGTGGGTGAAATGATAAATACTCAGTGGCGTCCCGCGCTCTTTGACGGCGCACGCCTTCTGTCGAACTCTCTGCTTAAGCAGAGAGGAACCCGGACGAGGCTTTGCCGAAGGGCAAGGTTTCGTCCGGGGAGGTAGACAGGGCCTGAACCCGTCTAGGCGGGGTCAAAGGCTATCTTTTGGCCGAGCCTACGGGCTCGGAGAAACCTACATTAAAACCGGCCTTGTGCCATATTCGTTTCTCGTGGGTGAAATGATAAATACTCAGTGGTGTTGAGCGAGTCAGTCGATATCAGACATTGAAGTACCCACCATCACAACTAGATTTCTGCGTCATTAACTCTTTTATCCAGGTTCCTAACGTTTTGTACGTCGAACCTAATTTAGGACGACTTATTGAAATACAAGCCTCCACTCTGAAAACTACTCTACAACAAAATGTAATAAAAAAAAACTTTGCCAGTCACTCTCAAATTGGGGGTGGTAAAATAAAAGGGAGTAATTCATTTACAAATGTGGTACACGCAGTGTAGATAGATAGAGAATGAAAGAGCTAGGTTAAAATCAGAGCAGTGAAGTAAAACAACAAGTATAGGCATACGAATGCACAGTTAGATCTGAATATTTTTTTTCGTAAATATTTTTTCGGTGTGCTGACGGAAAGAAAATCAAATTCCGAAATTAATTTTTTTTTCTCCATTTAAAAATAAATTAGATTTTATAAGATATTCAATTTACTTAAAGAAGGAAGCATAAATATAATTTCAAAGTGGTTCCTGCCCGACAAAAAGGGTAATCATCTCTCGTGACAGAGATGTCCAAAAAAATGTCTGCATGTAGATTTTAATTCAATGGCAGATGTAACGATATTTCTATAAAATAAAAAAAAGAAAGATTAAAAAAAATATTTCAACTATTTAAATCTATTTATTTTTCACCATCTTTGTTGCTATATTAACGATGTTTCGGCTGTTGTACACTCCGGCTTTCTTCAACATGATAGGAATTTCGAACCGGATACTTCATTTTATCCGCAAAAAATGTTTATTTAGTACGGAATAATGTCCGGATTTTCAATAAAATCTTAAATTTATCTTTGCTTTTTAAAGGTAAAAAAATGAAATGTCTTTTATTCATCTGCGATTTTACTATTATTTCGCTCAAACCAGCTTAGAGGTTGTCCTGACTGAGAAAAGGCTAATGTATTTTTCAAATGCTTTATTTTGAACTTAAACTATGTGTCAGTGCATGTGCGTGTCGTTGTGTGCTTATTAAACAAAAAAGTATATGTAAACAATTTATTCCTGCCTCAAAAACAAATCTAGTCTCGCTGACAAAACTCACCTTGCCGTGCGTCTCGAAAAGGACCTCCAATCGATTGTGAACTGGGGCATGAATTGGCTGGTCAACTTCAACGCTTCGAAGTCAAAACTGCTCTCTATTAATCACCACAGAGAGCCTTCCCTTCCCTCCATTAGAATGTCTGACGCTCAACTTCTCGAGAGCAACTCTCTGCGGCTTCTCGGTCTCACGTTGACTGCTGACCTGAGATGGAATAAATACATCGAGTCAATTGCCTCGTCCATTGCAAGGAAAGTTGGCTCCCTGAGTCGCGCTAGGATGTTTTTCTCCCCGGAGTCGATCCTCCAGATCTACAAATCAACAATTCGCCCTTGCATAGAGTATTGCTGCCATATATGGTCTGGTGCCCCTTCTGTCTGCCTCGGGGTTCTTGATAGGCTCCAGATGCGGATATGCAATGTGGTTGGCCCTGCCCTGGCGTCTCGTCTACAGTCACTTTCTCACAGACGCGCCGTCGCCTCCCGCTATCTGTTCTACAAATACTTACATGGAAATTGCTCCGAGGAGCTGCATTCGCTGGTTCCCAGACGTCATGAGTTCCAGCGCCCTACGAGGCTGGCATTCCGCTCTCACCCCCTCACTGTCGAAACTCCTAAATGTAGCCGTCTCTTCTACTCTAATAGTTTCATGTCTCGCACCTCTCGCCTGTGGAAATCCCTTCACTTCTCCTGTTTCCCTGTGAGCTATAATCTCCAGCTATTAAAGTGTAATGTCAATCGACAACTCCAGTTGCCTTGATCTATCCACTACTCTCATCCTTTCTTCTATCACTCCTATCTGGTCTTGCTATTTCCTGTAACCCCTTGCATCCTAGTGGCTTCCCGCCTTGCTTGGGGTGAAACGCTTAAAAAAAAAAAAAATTCAGTAACACCCAACTCAGACACGTACTTATAGCTTACATAGTCGTATGAAAAATAAATCGCATTGTGTGTGTGTGTGTGTGTGCGTGTGTGTCTGTGCTAAAGACAGTGACTCAACTTTTCTTTTATAACATAGGTTGACTAACACTCAGCATTACACAATATATAAAATAGAAAAATAAGCCTTCCTCTCAGAAGCCTCATTAGTTGATGAAATGCTTTAATAGTACACACATTATTATTATTATTATTATTATTATTATTATTATTAATATCACTATCATCATTATCATCGTTTTACTTCTTCTTCTTCTTTTTCTTCTTCTTCTTGCTTATTATAACCCTGTGAACAGCAATGTTTTAAGGCCCCTTTCCTCATGGCCCCCAAAATGGGCCGCCCTTTAGGTCCTTTATTCGCTAAAGTTTTCATGCAATGCCTAGAAAATAAAACATTCAATAATTTAAATTCAACATTATTTATAAAATACATGATTTTTATACAATGCAAGTAAACAAATACTCAATAACATTTTAAAAACCATTTTGTAAACAATTCTGATAAATTGTATTTTAGAATTAAGCATTACGAAAAGGATTAATTTACTAGATGTCTATAAATGCACTACTTCAACGTGTAAAAATGATAATTTTCTAATTATTGCCTCCCTTATATATATATATATATATATATATATATATATATATATATATATATATATATATATATATAAAGATTTGAAGAAATCTACGCGTAACGCACTGGCTGGGTTTCAACCTTACGGCGTTCAAAACCCGGTTAGTGGATTACGCGGGAATATCTTTTAATCTTTTATAATTTTATTATCCGCTCTACAAATATTATTTTTTGTATTCTGTGTTGACCAAATTTTTAAAAAATTCCGCACGCACACACACACGCACGCACATACATACATACATACATATATATATATATATATATATATATATATATATATATATATATATATGATCGATCCATCGTCAGGCGGTTTCAACAATTGGCTACCGGATTTCTCATTTTCGATATTTCTTAAAAGTAACTAAACGCTGTTTATTGGTGTTAAGTTGATTTTTTTTCTTTTTATACGTGTGTGTGAGAGAGAAAGAGCGCGTGGGTACGCATGTGTATGTATGAGAGAGGGTTTTCTAAGTACACTTGTGTATGTGTAGAATGTCTTGGTTATTCCTCCTCACATACACATACAAACAGAAACACACACACACACACACACACACATATATATATATAAATATAACATTTTTATGTTTTTACATTTTTTTTATAGATACAAATATTTAAGTAAATGCTCTATTTACAATAAACACTATTAACAACATTTACCGGCCTGAATGTCCGAGAAATTTTCATAGAAAATATTCGTCCTCCGACAGGAATCGAACCTTATCCTATAGGAATCGTCATATAGCCTGACGTGTTTTTACCGATTTCGTCACAGAGAAGCGTTTCGGTTAGTTCGGTCAATTTTACTGTTTTTAAACTACAATTTTCCATGATTTTCTCACGTACATTCATGTCTGCTCGATGCCGGTTCCGTACAGGATACAGGTTCAATTCCTGTCGGAGGACGCATATTTTCTTTGGGATCCTGTGTTGACGGATTCAACCATTTTCTTTTGATTTCACGATATTGTTGTGTACGTTTGTTTGGGAGAGTAGTAATTCTGTTAACACTAGAAAAAAATAGCATTCTCTAAATTCTTCCAGTTGCTAAGGACATTTTGTTTTTGTTATTATTAGTTAATTTCTTTAAATAAATTTCGTTTTTTGCCTTGTGAAAGTCCACATTGGACGAAACGCGTCGGCAACTATTAGTTTTCATATTGTCATTTATATATATATATATATATATATATATATATATATATATATATATATATATATATATAATTTTTTATGGTGTCTTTCATTTGGTGTTGATTTATATTTTTGTTTTTGTTTGAATATTATCTGAGGTAATTCTGATTGTACAAATCCCTATAGCTGTTGTAAACCACTCATATTTAGGGGGAAAAATATGTCAGGCAAAGGAAGTTATATTAGAATTGGGAACCTGGCGCTGCAATTCAAACGAAGTTCACACATTTTTTTTCCCCACGCCAAAATGCACCGCGAAGCTAACTGGTTTGGCGTGATGCTTTGAAATCGCTCTGTACTAGAAGATCGTTTACGGGTGGCGTGACTTCAGTCAGTCAGTCATTTTTTTTTTTCGTGTAGAATCACAGTGCGCAGATACTACAGTGAGACTGACATTACTACAAAGTGTTTTACATCGCTTTGATTTATCCTCGTATATGTTATATTGCTAGCTATACACAGAGGTGCGCGCAAAGAGAAACCGCCATACACAGACACACACACCGCCATACACAGACACACACACACCGCCATACACAGATACACACACAAACACATAGACATACGCGAATATAATATTCCAGAGACAAAGCGTACTATACCAAGGAGATTGGGCGTGTAGGTTGATATGACGTATTTTTCTTTGTTTTATATATATATATATATATATATATATATATATATGTAGAAAAGAGAAAGAAATATATATATATATATATATATATATATATATATATATATATATATATATAGACATATATATATAAAATATATATATAAACACATATCTAAAATTATATATATAAACATATATATATATATAAAATATATATATATATATAATGAATAATAAAAAAAAATATATATATATATATGTATAAATATATATAAACGTATATATATATATGTAGATATATATATAAATATATATATATACATATATATATATATATATATATAAATAAATATATATATATATATATATATATATATATATATATATATATATAATGACTGTTCATATCTTAAAAGTAATATATAATATCATTTTTGTCTTATCGTGTGTAGGGTGCATTGTCCAAAATATATGCATAAATCTATTTTTATTCATTTTAATATCTGTGATATATTAAATATATTCATTTCGGTTTCCTAATAGATAAAGAATTAATTGAAATAAATTATCAATGAAAATGATATTAAAATGTTTAAAAAAGAAACACAAATATAATTATAAATGAATCATCAGCACGTTATAGGAGCTCATGTTCTAGTATGTGAAATTATAGGTGATTATCATCCAGTATCTTAAATTATAGGTGCCGATAGTTACATATGTTAAACTATTGGTGCTTATCTTCCAGTAAGCTAAATGGCGGTAATCTGTCAGTATCTAAAATTATAGGTGCTTATCTTCCTTTATGCTAATTATAC